AATCCTTATGAAGAAAGCATGTGAAACAATGAACAAAGGGAATAAAATAAGGTTGAAAAAGGTCAAGAAGGCACAAACACACGTGTCTTGATGATTTCCTCGTGAGATATCATATCAGTCAAGGATTCAGGACGATATTTTTCCACCCATGGTAAGTTGATCACCGCTGGCGGCAATGGCACGTCGATCTCCATCATCCTCTCTAAAATAAAAATGCATCTCCAAACAAAAATTATAACCGGAAGTTCTTCTCATGAACTCGAAAAGATTTTGGGGTAGAGGGAACTAGCCAATTCTCTATAGATCTAGATTTGCAAATATGAGTGTAAAAATGTTCGCTGAACGAGAATGACAAGAAGAAAACCATAATCCACGAAAAGACTCTCGGAAATTTGTAGCGAATTCGCGCGCTCGATGTGCGCCGCGCGCGGCGACCGCATGCGACAGAAAAGTGATTGACAACGTTTATCATGCTGGATCGACGGTATCTCAGAGGGTATTTGAACACAATTGCCTGCTGGGGTTAGCTGAAGTGAGTTAGTGTTTTATTTTCTCGCCACAATTTTGGTTAAGTTACGGCCTCCTAAGAATAGGTCTCGTTTACTTAGGCAGCACTAGTTCGGGTACCAGACCCCAAGAAAAATGCGGTGCCTTACCATTACACAGTTATCTTCACTGAATCAACCTATGCAGTTGAGCGGGAAATAGAATAAAGAATGGAGAAAGTTCCACGTGAAGTTCTCTAAGATGACCAAGTTTTGCTCCAGTTCAAGGTAATGTACCCTCGGTGGACTTTCCTCTGACAAAACCATGTGCTCCTTGGGGATTATAGAATGTTCATCTAAGTGCTGAACAATTCTTCTCTTCAGTATTTTCTCAAAGACACGAGCAAATAGCGATGTAAGACTGATTGGGCGAAAGTTTTTGGGTCGTATGAAGGAGGTTTTTTCAATATAGGGACAACAAAGGAGCAGGGTGAAAATCGTGTCGAGTACGTGGTCGCAGAAGTACGACCCCCCCCCCGAAATCGAGATCCTGGCACGACCCCCTAAAACAGAGCAAATTAATTCAATTAATTAATCAAAAAAATCCTGCAAAATAATGTTATGGACGCCTCATCTTGTCATCTATGCACTGTCTTTCATCGCTGCACACTTTTGTGTATTTACTGAAATATCGACTCGAGGAAAGAGGCATTAACTTTGTGTGACCTCAAAGTCAGGTTCGTTCAGAAATGCATGAAATCCTG